CGAAGACAAAACGATCTGGACACTGGGAGAGAACCTCTGATTCCCAGGGGAGGAAACACTCGCGAAACAAGGGAGTTTCCAGTCTTGAGCCAAAATGGCTTGAGCCAAAATGGCTTGAGCCAAAATGGCTACGGACATGGGTTTAGGGTCCACGGTTTAGGTTTAGGGTTATATAATTGAGCACTTTAAAACGAATTCGGCAATTTTGCCATGTTGCGTGTTCCTTCCGCTGCACAGTCTCTTTACAGGTGGAGAGATCTATTTGAGCTACACGGCTCCATCCCTCAAAATACACGTTCTCCAATGACAGCAAAGCTGCGGTGAACTGCAGCCTTCTAGTGCCCTATTGACATCCGCGCGGGATTCGCATAGAGTCCTCAGCTTCTGACTGAGCATTGACGGAACGGAACCCCGAATTCAACCTGAATTGTCGAAACAAGGTCTTGCAACAAGGCTTTCATGGGAGATAACCGGAGGTAGCCAGGATCCTGCATCATGGGGAGATATGCAAAGGCAAAGGGCTCAGCTTCCGGGCTTCCGTCGTTCGCGCCGCAACCGTGGACCCTAGTAGCCCAGCCTGGAATCTAGGATCTGATGGGTTTTGGAACTCTTGTTACAATGGACCTGAAGCAGCCGATTCAAGCGGAGTGGCTTCAGTCCTTCCACAAAGCGTTCGTCGACTGTGAGGTGCAGGGGCGTGGCGGTGAAATGCTGCTCCGGGTCGGTGAAAGGCTGTCCCGGGTCCCTTGCTGCAAAGAGGACTTCTCAGACTTGCGCTGAATAATAGTAGGGGAAACGGTTAGTAAGCAAGAAGAACTGGTTCAGGCCTTGCAGCTTCATTTAGTTTTGTAACCTCTCCGATGCCCGCACCCGGCAGGTCAAGGCACCAGCCACGAGCACGTTGGACCCGAAACACTGCCTAAACTTAAACAGTACAACTGGTGCCGTGGGAGCATCCCATCGCACGGTTGGAAAGGCACGGCTGAGACAGGAGATCAATCAAGGTTGCCAGCTCACCCAGAATGGTGGAGCGGTTCAGGCTTTATAGGGCTGCCCGGGACTGCACCATGCCGTCGTTGCCGGGTGCTGCGGTGCTCTATTCATGTGGAGCCCTCTGCCTCTTGCCGCCTTTCAAGTTCTGTGAGATTTGTGCCCAGTCTCCACTCTCTCATCAGTCAGTTTGCATTCGATGGTGGTGATAGAGCACCATGTGCTCCCGTTTCATTCTTGCTGTGCCCTGGTCTGTTACCCAGTGGCCTATGCCGTCTTCTGCCCTTGCCTGGCTCAGCATCTGACCTTCTACGCCATGAATTTTCAGTGAATTTGCCCCGCACAGGGTGACCTGGTAAAGTGCTGCGTGTGCTACTGTTGTGTGCCACTCCCGCGCCCTCCATGACAGGTGCCACCTCCCTTCACATCACCAGCACTTTCATATTACGGTGCTCTACAGCACGCCTCTTATACATGTTCCGCGCGGTTGGCGGTTTTGCTCGAGGTCCAGGGATTTTGTTCCTCTGCCTTCTCTTTGCCAAGTCGGGCGAACTCATCTGAATCCAAAATCCTGCCAGCTTGCCTCAAACCCGAACGTTGAAGACATCGTGCGATCAGCACACATCCTAGGACACTAACCGAAGAACCAGGGCCAAGTCGCGCTTGACATGCCACCAACCTTTTCATCCAACGGGAGTCTCGCTTCGAAATGGCCTTGGCTTGGGGCTACGTGGATGCAAAAAGCGAACACGTAGTAGGCCCGAGGTCGTGGAGTACAGTTCCCGGTAAGACTAAAGCCCAGCAGTCCGTGGGCGGCGGGCCCGGGGGGCAGATCCCAAACACCACTGATGCCGCGTACGGTCTCGAATTGCCAATCCGAGTGGCTATGAATAAACATTCTTGCAGCCCGTCCTCGAAGCTTCAAAGCAATTAAGCTTGGTTCACATGCCCAAAACACTGAGCAAAAATATGTCCGGAGGGGCTGCTGAAACATCATGCAACTTGTAGACAAGAAAGACTACTGGAACCACTGGCTGATGAATGTACTTGGAGGTTCATACGGAAGTGCAGAAAAGATGAGATAAATTCTGCGCAGCAAAGTATGATTTGCTATCCGAAAAACCATGCAACCTGCGTTTGAGATCACTCGCCGCAGTCTTGCCAGATTCGCTCAATGACGGCATTGTCTCGACCACCAAAAGAAGATGAGACGATCAACAGGGGCTCGACCTTGTTGATAGACTCCGTTCCATTCTCGGCTACATATAGGGACCGGCTATGAAGCCGCAGTGAACCGGAGGACGTGCAAGATTTAGGGCGACATCTATATTTGTGGCAAGAAGGAGTGCTCAGGATTTCTGCGCCTGGCCTTTCTGTTTCATGAGCTTGACCTGTGTTCCCGGCAAACGACCTTGTTCCAGCAGCTGGCCATGTGGGCCCGGAACGAAGCTTCATACCCAAACCCAAAACCGTGAAACCAGACATATGGGGGTTTCCGAAAATAGGGGACCCTAATATAGTACCCCAAATAGTAGGATCCTTATTATAAGGACCCCAAGAAAAAGGTACCCCTTATTTTCGGAAAGTCCCATATCTTCAACGCTAAAACCCACGGCCTGGCCACCACCCATAGCCCGGCTTAGCACGCTCGGTACCTCTCAGCAGCTGCATTTCACGTGAGCCCACGGCAAAACTGCACAGCAACGGGCTGCAGGTCTGGAGTTGAGTGGCCCAGGATGTGGCCAGTTTAGTGCCAGGGCGTCAGGAGCGCAACATCTTGTCTCCCTACCCTGCTACAGTATGCACTGCTGAACAACCCGGCATGGTGCGGGACTGGGGCTGGCCACGACGTCTCTTCATACCAGTACAGGAAATGCCATGCTCTGTCCGAATGACGCCAAGCCGACTTGTTCCAGGTGTTAATGAACTAGCGCTGTTTCGGAACTGTGCTCTGTTCGATCCCTCGACACGCAGCGGGACTGGAGTTGGTGCATGCCTCGATATCTGGCACTCCGGCATCGCGGTACTGGATGTTGACATCCTCAGCAACACTGATGAACACACAACAGCTGACAATGCCATGTCGGTTGAAGGCTTGTGCCAAACAGGACAACTCCCCAGCCTGTGTCGATGAAGTTTCCATCACGCTCCGGCAGCAAACATTTGACTGCTTGATCTTCGTAATGGCAAAGGGATGGGTCCGCACTCCACGACAAGCTGTCGCTGGCTTGCCCTCCAATCTCACAGTATCCTGACTTCGTGCTTTGACGCCTCACAGCCTGTTTTCCACGGCTCGACTCTCGCTGACTCAGCGAGAGTCTGTGTCGCGCATGCAGGCACATGCTATGTCTGCTCTGTACGTACTACATACATCGCAGCATGTGCCTCATGTGCTGATTTAAATCTGAATGGCAAAGCCGAAAATTAGCTCCTGTATCCCGCTAGACCATCCAGCTCACATGGGAGATGGTGCTCGCACTCCAAGTGATCTGATGCCTTTGCCACACGCCGAGCCTCGGCGATGTCATGCTGCGAGGGGCCGGCTCCCACCAGCACCTTCACCATGTCTACGTCGTCACTGTTACAAGCAAAAACAAGGGGAGCAATCCCACAGTCCAATGTCATGTTGATGTCAACCGCTGCTTCCTGCAAGCACTGCACCACTCCAACTTCGCGAGCCTGTACCGAATGTGAGAGACTACTACGTTGAGCTTCTGCCTGCCGTGCATCACATGCATGCCTCCCTTCACGCAAAACAGGCACCGCCCTGCTGTGGCCACAGCTGCTGTGACCGAGCAAGTATCGAATCATCTCCTTATTGTTGCGTTGTGCGCTGACGAGAATCGCATTTAAGCCTGCGTTCGTGGCATGGGCAATGTCTGCCCTTGCATGAACGAGCAGCTCGACGACATCCATGTGGCCATTGTGAGCTGCAATGATCAGAGGGGTCGTCCCATCATGCCCTGCATAATCCACAGTCGCCATGCTGTCCAGCAGTATACGAGCAACTCCCACGCGACCCCTTTGGCACGCCTTGAAGAGCGCAGTGGCGCCATCTCTGTTAGCGGCATCTATGCAAGCAGCGGCCTCCAAAAGCGTCTGCACAGCTCTCTGGTGTCCATTCTGTGCTGCAATGCAAAGAGGCGTGGCGCCTGTCGCATCCGCTACATCCTGCATCGGGCAATCGGCTCGCTTGAGGGATGCGCCTGCTCGCATCAAATGCTTCAGAATTTCGTGGTGCCCTTTCCTGGGATCTCGTTAAGGCAAATAACCATAGCAAGGGAACCATATGAACTAATCTTTTACTATTACGCAGTCACTTAAATTCAGTTCCTTAACAAGAAGCCAGTTTCTGCGCGGCGATCAGCAGCGGCGTCGCCTTGTCAAGGGTCTCGAGGCTTAGGTCGGCCTTCGCCTCGGTCAAGACCTCCACACATCCCAGGTGACCGTTTTGGCAGGCCACGTAAACGGGCGTCGCGCCAGCCTTCTGTGCCCTGTCCAGATGCGCCTCCTTGCTGGGGCAGTGCAGGCAAAGCAGCTGGACAACTTCGAGGTGCCCTTCTTGTGCCGCCACGAACAAGGGCGTCGCCGAATCCTGGTCCTTGGAAACACAAAGCATGGCGGCCTTAAGGGCCACATCAGGGGCTCTACACGTGCACCAAGCTTCATCAGGAGCCATGCCAGCATACAAACCATGACCTTCTTGGAAAACTTACTCTAAGCGTGTGTGATGGCGACGACATCATCATCATCATCATCATCATCATCAGCAGCATCAGCATCAGCATCAGCATCAGCATCACCATCATCATCATCAGCAGCAGCATCAGCATCATGATCATCATCAGCAGCAGCAACATGAGCGTCATCATCATCATCATCATCATCATCATCATCACCACCTTCATCACCAGCAGCAACAGCATCAGCGTCGCCATCACCATCAGCATCACCATCATCATCAACATCAACATCATCATCAATCGTCATCACCATCATCCTCGTCATCTTCATCGTCATCATCATCAACATCGTCACCGCCAGCATTAACTACCATGGTCATCGGCATTCTCCTCCTCCTTCTCATCATCATCAACAACATCATCAAGCCCGTCAGTTTCATGGCATCGTCACCTCATCGGCTTCAGCATCAACATCGTCATCGCCATCATCATTATCACCATCATCATCATACTCATGCCCAGCCCCATTGTCGTCGTCATAACCATCATGGTCATCATCGTCATCATTAACATCACCATCGTCATCACCATCAGCAGCAGCACCATGATGATCAACCTTCGCGTGGTCATCGAAATCTTCTTTGTCGTGATCGTAACCGTCATCGTCGTGACCACAGTCATCATCATCCTGATCATATTCCCCATCGTACTTGGTGATCGTTATCGAGCTCGAGATTACGGGTCTGCGGCGCGGATTGTGCATTCTCTCTGGGTTGCAGGATTATCGTGCATAGCAGCAAGCAATCTTCCCATGTACTATTCCAGGAGGCATGGACCAGTCTATCCTTGCTTTTGGTTTAACATGGTTTAACCACCAACCTTCCCCGGAAAAAATGCACCTCGACAAGCATCGGCTTTCGTAACATCGGCATCACCAAGGAGTAGAAGACGCAGCTGGCCCACATCGCCCTTCCGGCAGACCTTCCACGTTGCCGTCGCACCCCGGTCGTCACAAACATCCGGATCCTGGAACGCATAGAGAGCTCTTGCGATGAGCTCGGCTGCCTCCTTGCTATTCTCGCTCTCACCTGCTTTCAGAATCATCTGCCTGTAGACCTTGTAGGCAGCATCCTCCTCGGGCAAGAAGCCGTTCGTAAGGACGGAGATCTTCATTGGGCGCCCGAGGCTCTCCCACGAACGGGCCCCATGCGGGGCTCCTCGCATCTCTCCCAGTTCTGAGACGAAGGTGATCCTGAAATAGGGCAGCTTGAGCTGCTCATGACAACGCATCCTCAAGTGGCCAAGGAAATCCGCCTCTTCCTTGCATAGCTGCACAGGCAGGGCAAATCGCGGAGCTCCCGTGATCGCTGCGCTGAGGACCACTTCAGCATCGTCGGCTGCGGCTTGATCGCCTTCGCCCTTGCACTTCATCTGCAGGGCCAGCCTTCGCCGATTCTCTCAGGCCAGCTCCGATGGCCATTTGCTGCCGGGAAACCCAGACCTGTGAGCTGCACTGGTCCGGGCGGCAGCATTCACGACATCTGCAACTTGAGACTTGAGCCGAAAGCCAAAGGGGTTGCCCCAGCTGGTGCACTCTCTGTCTTTTGTTGCAACAATCTCTCCCCTTGTCGTGGGGGACCTACGTAGTGCAGCGTATTTTGCTCTCGCAGTGACTGCTGCAGCTCCTGGTCAATGCCATCTCTTCCGCAGCCTGGGCTCCTTGCTTCAGCTCCCAGTCTATGTAGACCCACACAGGTTATGGTTCGTAAAGTCTTGGAGTCCATGTGTTCATGTCGATATTGAGCCGACGCAACAGATTCAGGCTTCCTGTTCGGGGAGTTCAAAGTCTGTAAGGTGTTGCCTGAGTAACCCCTTCACAGGATTACGGATTGGAATTCTCAGCCAGCTTTCTCAGGCATCAGGTGTTGTGATGCGAATGAGATGGCAATGGTTCTTCGTAACACAATAACCATATACCATGCCATCAGACACCTCGCACTTCAAGCCTACGCCTGTCGATTGAAAACTGACAGAGAGACTTACAGGACGTGAAAAGGCAAAGGGACAGCTAGCAGAACGGCATTGACCTGGTTGCCGCAGAAGCCTCCTTCTGCAATGTTCGTTGTAGAAGCCCCTAGAGATGGAGCCAAGAACCGCCAGGGGGCTCAATCCAAAAACTTGCGAGATGTAAGTATAAACAAAGGCTGCGACGTGGGGGTAGCACCTCGCATCATGCAAAGGGCTGCCCTGAGAAGATGATCATTCCCCATGGGTCCCTGAGAATGCGAGTCTTCGCCACTTGGTGTGGGATCACGGTTATGTGCACCAAACGCCAAGGGACCTATAATTGGGGGTACGGTGGGAGCAGTGACTCAGTCTGCGGATGTTCACTGCTGCGATGGGCCAGCTCGCACCAACTACGGCCCAAGGAAAGAGGCGTGGAGAGGGACAGGTTGCCACA